GACCTCTGCCAAAGCTGAAGAATATTTGGCCATTCCTGTGAGCCACGTGGTTTTTGGTTATGCTGATGTATGGGCCTATAGAATGAACACAAAATATTTGGAAAGAACTCAGGCATGTGCGAAAAAACAAATGTAATGGGTGCATCAACAATACCAAGCTCACGAACTTGGTATTGTTGATGTTCAACCGAAGTCTATCTTCCACTAGCATTTCCTGCACTTTGCCCAAAGTTCTTTTCAGCAATCCGCCACCAGAGTTATGTCGTCTGCAGATAGAATGGTCCTCAATGGCTCTTACATGTTATACTCTAACCGTTTACAGCTTTTGCTAGGCCGCATGAAGTGCGTACTACAGTCTTAACCCACCATGGTGTCCTTCACCAAAGTGGTTAGGTGTTCCGATGTGTTCCTTCTCTGCGCCCTCTGCCCCCAGAGCACCGGTTATGGTAGACGGTCGAACGCAGTAGGTCGGCGCTTTCTCGATACTTCTCCATCATTCGCTTAGCGATTAAGATGAAATCCGTTAGTGATCTTTCGGGCATGAACCCGAACTGTTCCTGGGAGATCGGGACCAGCTCCCGCAGTTTCGAGTCGACCAGCGCTCGTACAACTTCATGGTATGCGCAGTCAACTTGATGCCGCGGTAGTTGGAGCAGTCCATCGCGTCACCCTTCTGCTTGAAGATGGGGACGATAGTACTTGTTCTCCAGGCATCCGGCATCCTTCCTTCCGCAGTTACAGTGTTGAGGAATCGATGAGCCATCTTATCCCGTACTCTGCAAGAGCCTTCCATACCTCTTCAGTGCGCCACATAGTTATACGCTCAAATTTGATCACTGCATTTCCAGAATAAGCAGGCTATATGCCTCCTCTTTGCCTCCTCTATCTTATATGCCTCCTCCTTCCAGCCTACGATCCGCTGAACTTCTCTTTGTTCACTCCATGCTGCCTTGCCCCCCCCCCCGGATTCCACCGGATTCCAACTCCGCTATCGTCGAGTGATTCTTGATGGCATCGTAGGATACCTCAGCGGGTTGTGCACGTTCTGCAGACAGTGTCGCGTTTATTAACGATATGCACAGTAAGAACAAAAAAGTGCTGTGGGGAACGAATGAAAGAAAATGACGATTTACGCGTTTAAATTCCGCCGGGGACCATTCTATATATGGCGGGGGGGACGCTTCAACTTAGGGCATAAGTACTGTACTAAAATCTTTCATCTTTTGACTATTGAACTATATATCTAAGATCTTATTGCACCTTATTCTATAAGCGTTTTGGTCTGATTCTAAGATCGAGCGCTTAAGCAATTCTTTCAATGACGTCAGCTGATACAGTGACGCGTCCAAGGCGCATACGCCTCGCCTGGAATTGCGTGAGATCTTCACCGTCCGTAGAGTACGGTTTCCGCAAGTTCGTTTCTCTTCGGAAACTGAGCTTTCAAAGGTGAAACTTGCAAGTTGTCTCTAGGGATCACAACTGTCACAGCCACGTTGGGAAAGAATGCAAGAAGTTTCCAGGAAGGATTCCTTTAGTCCTCGACTCTTCCATTGTCACCGATCTTATCGACCTAACAGGGGCGATTTTAAGGATCCCGATGTGGTCTGAAATGTGCAACACGAGAAGGAACACTGGGCAGTACCATAAGGCTGGTCAGAGTCCGCGATCCGTCGCAGGTTTCGCTGATTTTCGCGATTTTCGCGATTTGCGCGAAACCTGCGACGGATCGCAAAAATTGCAAGTGCCCCATTTGAACATTTGAAACACTGAATATGAAACAAGTGGAATCATGAGCAGTCGTCATTCAGCCATCACTATCAAGCAGAAGTGGCGGCAGGATTGGAGAACACCTTGCAGTATTGATCGGGCACTTGTGATTTCCGTGACCCGTCGCGTGAATCGCGCAAATCGCGCAAATCGCGAAAATCAGCGAAACCTGCGACGGATCGCGGACTCTGATACCAGCCTAATCAAAATGATCACATGATATTCTGGTAACGACGCCATTTGAAAGGAATGACTACTGGGGGCTACTAAAGATACTTATAATCAGAGTTCCACGAGCTATCAGCGGAGATCCTTACAAGAGAAGAAAAAAAGGAACATGAACTAATATAAACATATTAAATGGCAAACATTACGTAGTATCGATGGCAGTGTGCTTCGCTATGCCAGCAATTTGATGATCACATTCGTAACCCATGTGCTTTGTGTAGAAGAATAAACCTGAAACAATTCCAGTGCTCATAACTTAATACCTACAATTTTCACAGTTTTAAACGAGTGGAGTAGAGATTATATGATCAAAGCTGGTACGACATGTTTGCACCAAGACATGGGAACAGAATTGCAAGCTACGGGTAAGATACAAAACCCATCTGAAACAATGTGAGAAAAAAATTACCTCTCATGCCTGCATTTAGACGTTCAGCTCCTATTTCGGTCACATTCGCAAGTGACTCATCACCAAGAATCGCTTTTGCTTTCTCGATTAAACTAAGCTCTTCATGGAACGCAGCCTTTTTCGCTGAAAAAACACGATTATCATCGGAGCGGAAATGTCTTTATAATGCCTAACATACATGTTTCATGGAGAGAAATTACTTCAAAAATCACGGGTTTAGCTATGGTTCTATGATGCAGGTGTAAATTATTAATTATGCTAGATTGGCTTCGCACACTAATGCGATCAGCGATATTGAATAGGACAACTAAAATTTTTGCTGTGGCAACGCCTTTCCGCCTAGTGCCAAATTCATGAACGTCAGTAACCCTTACAAATAGACTTTGATTGAAAAACTGGTGAAAAAGGTGTGACTAGGGACCCCCTTTTCTGGTATTCAGAGGGCCGTTCAGGAAAAATTAACCATGGTTCTGTGGTTCCCGCATGTGCCTCTATATCATGCAAAAGACCGTTTTGAAAAAGCTTGGCACACCCTGAAAGACCTTCCTTGTTAGGTTTCACCCACGTTCCATTCAATTG